TACAAATGCAGGTGTTCAGAATAGAACAATACCCTCAGTGCCATTTAATATAGAAAAGTATTAATGTTTGATAATTATTTTTTCTATAATCACATTCAAATAAATGTAGCAATACAATAGCAATGATTTATGGGCAGCTGTGGATGAGTGGTTAGATTAGTCATCCTCCAATGCAAGAGTTGGGGGTTTGAATCCACGAGCAGCCACATGCTGAAGTGTCCCTGGGCAAGACACTTAACCCCTCATTGTCTCTGATGTGTATCTCATCGGTGTATGAATGTGACCCCAAAAGCACTGATTAGTCTCTTTATAATGATTTGTTCAATTAGATTTGTAGAGATCTAGCAGAGTGCTGTATGAATGGGTAAATGAGGGCACAGATTGTGTTGTAAAGCGCTTTGAGTATCTGGATAAGATAGAAAGGCATTATATAAATGCAGTCCATTTACCATTTAGCACAGAGTCTAATACAGTAAGCTGGAGGCTAGCGCTAGCATGCTAGCTCCAGAAACAAACAAAAATAATCACCAGTTCCCACTTTTAGAATACACTGTCAGCTGAAGGTTTTTTTTTTCACAAACAGACATCTAAACGTTGAGAGGTATATCATTTAGAAATGGCAACGTGGGCATTAGATAAAGTGCTTTCAATGGCTTAAAACCTACCTGCAACATAGCCTGGTTGTGAGTGTCACTGCACAATCTTTTCCAGGACACCATGTGCCGGTACTCTGGGCGCAGGAGAGTAGCGCCCAGAATAGTCCTATATCTTGTAATGAAGAGGAGCTAACTGCGCATGTACAACTTTTAACAATAGTCTGTGAGCAAAGATTCTTGTGCCCCCAGGATGGAAATACGTCATCAATCGGTGACATCAGAGAAATAATGTTTTTGAAAAAACAACGTTGCTCATTAACTATACAATATTTATCTTAAACAACAACAAAAAAGCATATATTTTGAAATATTTTTATTTTAGAATTTCATGTATTCAAAGTAATATGGTGAGTGGTGTGAGTAGTGGGGCGGCGCCCTAGCGCCCCTTACTGGCTAGCCGCCACTGTTCCTGACACAACCACAAACCACCGAGCTACCACAGCCCTCTGTGTGGAGCAGAAAGCTGACCTCTAGGGCTCCTGGGGGAGCAGATGATCGGGATTAAGGGCCTTGATCATGGGCAAGTGAGACAAATGAGGGTGGAGACAGGTGTAGGTGTTTTACCTTTCCCACCCACATATTAAAGTCGGTCTGGGGAGTTGAACCGGCGCTCTTCCGCTCACAGGCCCACATTTTCTAACCTCTACACTACCACTTCCCCAATCTGCTTCATGTCTTGCAAAAAATTATTATTTAGGAAAATTCCACCTTTATCAGAGATGTGTGCACAAATGCAATAAGAGAGGTCACAGAAGTAAATAAGACCATGTGTGGTGCTTATTGCTTAATTAGTGCTCTGTACCTCGCTAATCTTTTTTAAATCATTTGTTTGAAAACAAACAAAACAATCTTTTGCAATCCACAGATTTTGTGTTTACCTCAACTCCTTTTAATTTTCAAATGAGTGACTCAAGGGTGATGTAACAGCTGCTCACTGTGCAAGGAAGTAGAAGGGCATTAGGTGACGTGTTTTTTTCATCTTTCAAACGTTAACATGCTGCTAACCATGTGTGTAGAATCAATATTTAATAAAAGCACACTCTTTGAATTGTACTTTTGAAATTCAATTGGCTACTTTCCCCTTATTTTAACAAATGTTATACTGCAAGAGCTAAAACGCTTGAGTCACATCTCAAATCACTGCTCTGTTAGACTTGATGTTCTAGAGATGTGATGATAAATCAGCAGATTTCAAATAATGGCTAAACAAACTAAACAGAAGAGTCAAACACCTGAATGTAATTATGTTGTGGGTACATGGATGTATCGCACAGTCTTTGCCTTCTTTTTAAAATTATCTGTTCAAAGTGAAAACAGCCTTTGCCTCGGCTCATTTTAGCAAATTGGTGTTATACAACCTGCATTTTGCAATATAATTTTCTCCGTCATTACTTTTAACAAACACCATAATTTGGATTTCTCCCAGTTTTCAGCATACATTGATAGTGCTTTTATTTTTCAGCCTCTGTGTAAGAACTGCTTAGTAATTACATTTGGAAACATGCCTCCATCCTTCCTTGAGCTTTGGATCTAAAACATCACGTTAGCAAAAACATAAAGCGTTAAAAGTATATAAATTTGATATGTGATACATGCTAAAAGCTATTTTTTGCCTTTGTTGCATGCATCTCTTGTAGTTTTTCAATAACAGTCACATTCAGTTTAAATGAGTAGACACATCTAACCTCTGTTTAATTTGTTTAATTGTAAAATGCTTTTTATTTAAAACTAACCTTAAATTAAATTACTGCTACACAATCCTTTGGTAAATACAAATTTCATTGGTCCAGTTGTTAAACTTACATTTTCCACAATAATATTTTAAAAAGTACAATAAACACAATTATAACCTAGTCGAGTATTAACAACTCTTCAAAGGCCTCTTACCATTTTGAAATGTGCAGCACACCATTTATGTGTTTAGGCTGAAAAAATGTTTGCCCTTTTCTTCCTTAGAGCCAGTGACAGACGTTCACATTTAAAATGCCTCAACTTGACGTATTTCTGAAACTTTTGTGGCCTGCCTTTCCATCACCGAGTTTTCAATGATGTTACATTTAATGCCTTTTGTCCCCAAAAGCATTAATTGAGAAACATGTCTAAGAGCAAGTGGAATTGTGTCAGTATGAGCTAAATAATATGAAACAACCACACATTTGAAAACATTTATAGAATAATAGGATAGAATCACTAATTCAGATTTTTTTTTTCTTCATATATAAGGGTTACAATAAGCAAGCTTGAACATTGTTTATTAGAAATCAGGGCTGTATTTATTGTAACAACTGTTAACAGTGATGCACTATTAGCATGCTGGTTGTGCAAAAAATATGCAAAGCACTTTTGACCCTTGTCAGTGTGATGGTCATTATTAAAAAGAAAATATTTCCACAAGTATAGACAAACAAATTGTATTAATGTTAGTATTCTCATGTTCAGTAGTATGATGCACTCTCATTATTCATTATATTGCAGAACTGAATTTTTAAACGTATTTATACGTTCATTTTTTTGTCCCCTGTTGAGCAAAAAGGGGGAATTGTAAATACTGTCTATCAGTCTGTCTATCTGTGCATGATGTGAGCATGATAACTTAAAAATTAAGTGAGGTACCGACCCATTTTGGGGCGGCTGTGGCTGAGTGGTTAGAGCAGCTGTCTGCCAATGCGAGAGTTGGGGGTTCAAATCCACCAGCAGCCACATGCCGAAGTGTCCCTGGGCAAGACACTGAACCCCTCATAGCCTCCGATGTGTGTCCCATCGGTGTTTGAATGTGATAAAGCTCTGATTAGTCTCTTTAGAATGATTTGTTCAATTAGCTTTGTAGAGATCTAGTAGAGTGCTGTGTGAATGGGTAAATGAGGACACAGATTGTAGTGGAACATGCTTTGAGTATCTTGAAATAAGATAGAAAGGTGCTATATAAGTACAGTCCATTTACCATTTTCGTGTGTTGCTGTCACCATCAAAAATTCAGTTGCCACTCCAAAAAATTATATATCCAATACATCCAATTTACATGTATGCATGTATGTAAACCAATCACCCATATCATTTGAAGAAACTATGCTTTTAAATTTTTATATTGCTTAAAAGTATAGTTTTCACAACTATTGTGTCAAAAAGAAGCAATTCCATTTTGATGTGAGGCTGCATCTAGGTGTAAGAAAGGTGTTTATTGAAAATTGGGTTGCCACATCAAAATCCAAGATGGCTACCAATATATCACCTCTATCATTTGAGGAAGGTATGCTTTCTAGTTTTTTTTTTTTTAAATATTGCTTAAAAGTATAGTTTCCTCAAATTATTAAAGTAGCTGAAGATTATTTTTTGTTGGTTATGGCCCCCATTGGTCACCCTCTGGCTCTGCCATTGTGTCCAGTCGTGGATAAAAT